CTACATGAGCTGCTTGTGAGGCAGATTTGGCCATTTTCTGGTCCCAAAGACTTTAATGGGAACACTTGAAAGTTGGAGTGTTTAAGCATTTATTTTCATGCATATTTCAGACATTTTTGAAACTATAAGAACTGGTTTCCACCTCCTAGTGCTTTCCATTGGCTAAAACAAAAAACAGCTTAAAAGTTGAATACACATGTAAAATGCTTGATATACAATTCTAAAAGACTAATAAATACACGCAAAAAACACTCAAATAAAAATGCCTGAATATCTCTCTGCTCAGGTGTGAATGCAATCTAAAGACACAAACAAGACTTTGCACTGAGGGATTGGTATTTGTAATGCATTTGCAAGGGACTTTATGTAAACCTTCAATAGATTTCCAGAAAATACTTTCTTGGACTAGGTCTGTAGTAAGTGGAAAGTTATGCAGCAGGACAGCGTTTTCCCATTAAGTCTTTCCCCTGTTTAATGTGAATCATTGGAATAGCTGTCATTGTTTAAATTGCTCTGAACTGTTGACAAGTGAAATACAACTGGTTGGTTCAAATCATGTTACGACCTACCATGTTAGCAACTGACACAGATTGTTTTTCCATTTGCATATGCTCCCTACTATGTTTTTCATCAACCACATATGCAGTGCAAAAAAAGCAATATGTAAATGCTGTAAATATTACACTTGAAATAAATAAAGTGTTAACTGAACACAGAACTGTAAAACACATCCAACATTCAATAAACTAATTTTTCAACAGCTAAAATAGCGATGCCAATTGCTATGCACAGTGAATATTTTCAGACATATATTTGCATTTATTACCTTAAATGAAAGTTATTCTGGGTAGCTGAGATAAAGCAATAGACAAATATGAGCCAAGATCAACAGTAAGTTGAAGGAGGAACCACACCCATAGAGTCTAGTCCAAAAAACTAACGGCGCCCAACGCTCACCTCTCCTTGAATGGTACAGGGCCACACCCCTGAAATATTGGGAAACCCAAAAAATACAGAGGTAGTCTGCAGTTTTACTGAGACAAAAGCCTTCCACACTTTGGGACATTTAAACAAAAAAAAAAAAAAGCAGGAAATGTTTGACATGTTTGCCTGCCTAAATTTGCATGCATATTCAGGCGTAGTGCACAAATGCAAATGAGTTTGTAGCAGACCTTACAGTGAAAAGTAAAGTCCACTTAAAGCGGTGGGGCTCTGGGTGGTTTAAGTCAGCATATGCTAGTGTGCACCACATAATATCACATTACGGTTGACTTTCCTTAAAATGAGGTCCTCCAGCGGCGCACCATTACCACAGAGAGCGTCCAACTGCACCCAGTCTTCCTTCTGGGTTTGCAGGCTCCAGCTGTTTGAATGGCCAAGCTGTGATGACATCACTTTTGCGCATGCGCACAGGAGCCACACAAGCCACACAAAGCTCTGAATTGACAGCATATTCAAGTGTGCTGACAATTCAGAGCACGGTGAACATGCGCCTTTGACATCACCTTCCAGAGTGAATATCTCCTAAACACCGCAAATTTAGGAGATATTCACTGTACCTACAGGTAAGCCTTGTTATAGGCTTACCTGTAGATACAAGTTAAAATGCAGAGTTTACTACCTCTTTAAAGCTGAATATAGGTCTGCTTTTGTTCACCTCCCCCTAGAAATTGCTGGCAAAAGAATAAAAAACCCTAAAATCTTTAACAGTTTTTTTTTTATTATTTACCTCAGTTGTGAAGTTTAGTCTAAAATGTTCTCTTCTTTCGTGCACAGGAGGTAGAGTTCTTCCTCTGGTGTGCATATCATTGACGGTGTAACATGGACACCTCTAATTGGCTGTCCAGCACTGGGGTCCTCTCAGGATCCAGAAGAGCCTGTAAGTGATGATGTCAAATTGGAGAACCACCTGTGCAGGCACATTTTCAGTGCTGGATTACCAGTCTCCTGCATCTGAAAACAGCCCCAGTGAGGGACCCGGACAGTGGACTATGGGAGTATAAAATGCTATAGAAGGCAATTTACAAAAATGCACTGAATGGCTTGGAGGGTTTTGAGGGAAAGATCAAATTTTGCCCAGCGATGGGATTTAGCACGAGGCCTCCTCCCATTGTAAATAGCAAGAATATTGGGCTTTATCTTTATAAAGTTCCATTACCTTGTTACGCAGGACTTTTGACAGTTCTTTTCTGATCACTATGGCTCAGTATCTAGCCTAGTCAGTGCTTCCACATAAGAGCTAACAAACTCATTGACTATTTATACACTGACACTAATTGCAATTTAAAAAGCCACAGATGTGGAACATTAACCTCTAAATGGCATTTTAACCCGTGTGTGTCACCTTGTGTGTCTATACAAAGGCCAAACATTCCAGGGTATGTAAACTTTTGATCCGGGCCATTTGGGTGATTTCTGTTATTATGATTTAAAAAGAAGCCAAACAACTATTAGATAATAAATGGCTTCATATGATCATCATACTTCAATAAAAGAGCATTTTGTGTCATGATCAGTCATATTTTCAATATCAATGCCAAAATTTCACAATTTCTGCCAGGGTGTGTGAACTTTTGAGCACAACTGTATATATATATATATATATATATATATATATATATATATATATATACACACACACACACACACACACACACATACATACAGTCTGGTCCATTAATATTGGGACATCGACACAATTCTAACATTTTTGGCTCTATATACCACCACAATGGATTTGAAGTGAAACGAACAAGATGTGCTTTAACTGCAGACCATCAGCTTTAATTTGAGGGTATTTACATCCAAATCAGGTGAACGGTGTAGGAATTACAACAGTTTGCATATGTGCCTCCCACTTTTTAAGGGACCAAAAGTAATGGGACAGAAAAGTAATCATAAATCAAACTTTCACTTTTTAAATACTTGGTTGCAAATCCTTTGCAGTCAATTACAGCCTGAAGTCTGGAACGCATAGACATCACCAGATGCTGGGCTTCATCCCTGGTGATGCTCTGCCAGGCCTCTACTGCAACTGTCTTCAGTTCCTGCTTGTTCTTGGGGAATTTTCCCTTCAGTTTTGTCTTCAGCAAGTGAAATGCATGTTCAATCGGATTCAGGTCAGGTGATTGACTTGGCCATTGCATAACATTCCACTTCTTTCCCTTAAAAAACTCTTTGGTTGCTTTTGCAGTATGCTTTGGGTCATTGTCCATCTGCACTGGGAAGCGGCGTCCAATGATTTCTGAATCATTTGGCTGAATATGAGCAGATAATATTGCCCGAAACATTTCAGAATTCATCCTGCTGCTTTTGTCAGCAGTCACATCATCAATAAATACAAGAGAACCAGTTCCATTGGCAGCCATACATGCCCACGCCATGACACTACCACCACCATGCTTCACTGATGAGGTGGTATGCTTAGGATCATGAGCAGTTCCTTTCCTTCTCCATACTCTTCTTTTTTTAGATGTCGTTTGGCAAACTCTAATCTGGCCTTCCAGTTTTTGAGACTCACCAATGGTATACATCTTGTGGTGAACCCTCTGTATTCACTCTGGTGAAGTCTTCTCTTGATTGTTGACTTTGACACACATACACCTACCTACTGGAGAGTGTTCTTGATCTGGACAACTGTTGTGAAGGGTGTTTTCTTCACCAGGGAAAGAATTCTTCGGTCATCCACCACAGTTGTTTTCCGTGGTCTTCCGGGTCTTTTGGTGTTCCTGAGCTCACCGGTGCATCCTTCTTTTTAAGAATGTTCCAAACAGTTGTTTTGGCCACGCCTAATGTTTTTGCTATCTCTCTGATGGGTTTGTTTTGTTTTTTCAGCCTAATGATGGCTTGCTTCACTGATAGTGACAGCTCTTTGGATCTCATCTTGAGAGTTGACAGCAACAGATTCCAAATGCAAATAGCACACTTGAAATGAACTCTGGACCTTTTATCTGCTCATTGTAATTGGGATAATGAGGGAATAACACACACCTGGCCATGGAACAGCTGAGAAGTCAATTGTCCCATTACTTTTGGTCCTTTAACAAGTGGGAGGCACATATGCAAACTGTTGTAATTCCTACACCGTTCACCTGATTATGATGTAAATACCCTCAAATTAAAGCTGACAGTCTGCAGTTAAAGCACATCTTGTTCGTTTCATTTCAAATCCATTGTGGTGGTGTATAGAGCCAAAAATGTTAGAATTGTGTCGATGTCCCAATATTTATGGACCTGACTATCTCTCTCTCTCTCTCTCTCTCTCTCTCTCTCTCTCTCTCTCTCTCGAGAGAGAGAGAGAGAGAGAGAGAGAGAGAGAGGGGGGGAGAGAGAGAGAGAGAGAGGGGAGAGGGAGAGGAGAGAGGGAGGGGAGAGAGGGGGAGAGAGAGAGGGAGAGGGAGAGAGAGAGATGAGTAGCCCTATGTTGTAAAGGTTTTTACACACAAGCAATTCTTGAAATAAGTTCAAGTATAACCATTTACAAAAAAAACAAGACATACTTGGGACTCAACTGTACAGATATATTATCTGATTGGGTTACCCTCTCTGGTCACAGATTCTATGCTGCTTCCTCCTCCATCATTTCCTGATCCAACTAGGTTAGACAACAACTGGCTCTTGGCTATGGGTAGTTCTTTGTTGTGAAGATTTTTAAACACAAGAACTTATTTCTTTCAAGTTCAATTTTAACTGTACCCATATGAAATTTTTATCATTTTTGTGACAGATAGAGCTTTCTTTTTGTGCTATTTAATCACCTCTGGGTTTTTTATTTTTTCTTAAACAAACCAAAAACCACTGAAAATTTTGGAAAAAAGTTTTTTCTTAGTTTTTGTTATAAAATTTTGTAAATAAGTGATTTTTCTCCTTCACTGATATGCGCTAATGAGGGTGCAGTGATGGGCACTGATAGGCTGCACTGATGGACACTGATAGGTGGCACTGATGGGCATTGACAGACATCACTGATGGGGACTGAAAGGCAGCACTGATACATGGCACTGATAGGCAGCACTGATAAGCGACACTGGCTGGCACTGATTGGCAGCACTGATAGGTGGGCATTGATAGGTGGCAGACTGGCACTGATGGGTGACACTGAAAGGCAGATCAGATGGGCACTGATATGTGGCATTGATGGGCACTGGTAGGCACTGATATGTGGCATTGGTGTGGCACTGATGGGCAATGGCAGGTGGCATGGATGAGCACTGACACAAGGCACTGATGGACACTGACAGGTGGCACTGCTGGGGCTACACTGATCATCAGGGCACACTGATCATCAATGCCCTGATGATCAGTGTACATGTCTTCTCCGCGGAAAGCCGATTACCAGCCCTCCTCTCCTCACGAGCTGTCAGCGTGACAGCTCGAGAGGAGAGAAATGCCGATAACCGGCATTTACCTGTTTACATGTGATCAGCTGTGATTGGACACAGCTGATCACATGACTGAGCTGACATCTTCTGCTCTTTCCGTGATCGGTGATCCGCTGTGTCCGAGGGACACAGCGCACCGCCGATCGCCGTGCTGCGCGCTCCCTGAGCCGCGCATGAGCGGTTAGAATGGGAGGACATCATATGACGTCCTCCCAGAACGAGAAAACCACCTTGCGCCCGTCATTGGACTATATGGCGGGCGGGAGGTGGTTAAACAAAATGTACCTTTTGAAATATATAATACATAAGATACATAATAACCATTTAAACATCTTTAGAAACTCACCTGTTCATACCAGTGTATTATCTGATCTAGTTATTCTCTCCAGTTACTGATCTTGCACTGCTTCCTCCTCCATCTGACAAGGCACACTCTGTTATCCCATAAACAGCTTACTGAATTCTTGTTTCTACCCATATGTCTCAGGATTGTACATGAAATATATATTTCCCTTTCTAGTCTGATCTCTCACTTTACACAGCGCTACAGCAGATGTTGCACTATATAAATCAATACCTTCAGCACGTTCTTGTAGGTATTATCATACAATTAATTAGGCCAATTTTCATGCAACACATATCTAAAACTATGACTGTAATGCTATCCTTGATATATACACAACCCAGTCTTTTCAGACAGATTTGTCATTGTTATCAATATTTGTTTTCTATACGCTAGCTTGTAATTTAGATCGATAACCTTATCAATAACTTGTGATGTAAATGGGTCCATCACTAGCATTCCAGGTTTGTGTTTCAGAACCACAGGTCCCCTGACAGCTCTGTATCTGCTGTAAGTCTCACATGGAAATGGCTAAACCGAATGCAGGAATTCCTATTATCTCCACATTCCTCTGAGCTTGGAGAACAGACAAGACTGTGACATTGTGTGGCTCAAGTGTACAGCAGCAACAACAATAACTTTAATAACAAAGAAAAAGGTTGTGTTTACACACAGCAGAAAGACAGGAGCAAGAATTTGAGTGTTTCACAGCATTCAGCCTGACTTATAACATTACCATCAACTGGAAGGAATGGAGGAAATGTTTTTGCATCTCTGGTTCTAGATAGCTTGATAAATAACTCAATGAAAATGCGATACAGTTGGCTTCACACGGCAGTAATGATTTAGTACAAGGACCTGAATGAGAAACAAGCCTGTAACAACCTCACAGACCAAGAAAACAAGATGGAATTTACACGGCGCTCTGCTAAAGGAAGAGGAAAGTGATCTGAGGAAAATATATGCAAGATGCAAAATAGATTAAAACATGGGGTGCATATTGACCAAGCTATGGGGAATATTGATTGCCTAGCTACTAAATATAAAACTAAATAATATACAAGTAGAATTAAACTGTACGAGACATTTGCTGCTTCAATTTCCAATCTCATCATCTCCTAATGACCAAGTTAACACACAACCTGCAGAGGATGCAGAGAATACTAATCTTTTAATCCCTGTTGGGTGGGGGATGCTTTACATTGGTGACAAGATGGAGAGACAGCAGCTAACTTCAACACAAGTCAATGAAGCTTTCACTGAAAGAAGGACACACCTTGATGTTTCTCATCTACAAGTGCAAAAGATTACAGCAAATCTGGCCTAAAAGAAAATCTGCACCAGGAAACATGGAGATTGCTACTGGTGACCTCTAATAACTGGCTGTTTGCTGGTTTCAGTATCTTCCAAGACTCTAACTTAAAGAGTATGAACTAATATGGCGGCAGTGAGGTTTACGATTGGATTAGAGAAAGGTGGAGGTGGGCAGAATATTTAACAGGTTTCCATGTTAATCCTTGACCCCATTAAGAGGGTTGAACTTACTCCTGTCCCTTTGATAGCAGGTGAAGAAAAGAGCAGAACAGTTGTCACTGGGGGCATGCATGACAGTCAGTTTCCCTTTATTCCCTTTGGAAAAGGAAATGAGGTGAATCTCTCCAATGATGCCAAAGGCCACAGTAAAACCGGGAAGGGGTTCTATCCCTAATCAAACATCAAACTAAGAAACAAAGACAAAAAAAGTCTGGATATGAGAAGGAAAGGAACAGAATCCCCATCAACTTTTAATGGTAGACTGCGCGGCCTGGGGTTCATTTCCCTACACTTTCTCTAGACACAAGAAGAGTGGTCACTAACTGCAACAAAACTCTTATTTTCAGTAAAATAGGAAAGGATAACAGCTTCTTTCAGATTTTTATTGCTATTGGACTGCACTATCAGCTGCCACAGATGAATCAAGCCTGTAATACTGGCTGCCACACATGAATCAGGCCTATAGTACTGTCTGCCTTAAAAGAATCAGGCCTGTAGTATTGGTTGCCTCATACAAAGGAGACCTGTAGTATTGGTTACCTCATACGACGGAGGCCTGTAGTATTGATTGTCTCATACAAAGGAGACCTGTAGTATTGGTTACCTCATACGAAGGAGACCTGTAGTATTGATTGTCTCATACAAAGGAGACCTGTAGTATTGGTTACCTCATACGACGGAGGCCTGTAGTATTGGTTGCCTCATACAAAGGAGACCTGTAATATTGGTTGCCTCATACAAAGGAGACCTGTAGTATTGGTTGCCTCATACAAAGGAGACCTGTAGTATTGATTTACCTCATACGACGGAGGCCTGTAGTATTGATTGTCTCATACGAAGGAGACCTGTAGTATTGATTGTCTCATACGAAGGAGACCTGTAGTATTGATTGTCTCATACGAAGGAGACCTGTAGTATTGATTGTCTCATACGAAGGAGCCTGTAGTATTGATTGTCTCATACAAAAGGAGACCTGTAGTATTGATTGTCTCATACGACGGAGCCTGTAGTATTGATTGTCTCATACGAAGGAGACCTGTAGTATTGATTGTCTCATACGAAGGAGACCTGCAGTATTGATTGTCCCATACGTAGGATTGTCCCACTGCAGCTTGATTGTCTCATACAAAAGGAGACCTGTAGTATTGGTGACTTCATACGACGGAGGCCTGTAGTATTGCTGTCTCATACGAAGGAGACCTGTAGTATTGATTGTCTCATACAAAGGAGGCCTGTAGTATTGATTGTCCCATACATGAAGGAGGCCTGTAGTATTGTTGCCCACATGAAGGAGGCTTACAGTATTGGTTGCCACACATGAAGAAGGCCTGTAGTATTAGCTGCCAGACAAAAATGAGGCCAGTGATATTGGTTGCCATATGTGCGGGAGACCTGTAGTATTGGCTGCCACACATAAACAAAGCTTGTAGTATTGTCGGCCACACATCAATGACACCTGTAGTCTTGGCTGCCACACATAAATGATGCCTGTAGTATTGGATGTAACACATAAAACTGAGCCTGTTGTACTGGTTGTTACACATGAAGGAGTCCCATATTATCAGTTGCCTCAGATACTACAGTCTCTGTTCATGAAAATTCTGTGTCATTTATCTGTACCTATCATTTCAGCTCCTGGTACTGAGGTGCACCTGGCACACACCAAACTTTGCTCTGATCCTTCCTGTATGAATGTAGTGTTCACAGAACCTAGATCACAGTATTACAAGAAATAGAATTCTGATAAGGTAGGCAGAAAACAGTAACGTAGGCCAGATTTATTGCAGCAAGAAGTCTGCAGGACTCCTGGCTGCAGTGCAGGGATGCAGCTAGAAGAAATGTTATTTATTACTTCAATCTATAAATAGAACTCCAAAAAAATCATAGAAAATAAAGAGCCAGAGCTGACTGGACTCACTGTCATTAACAGGAGAATCCAAGTGTCCACTGTCAATGTATCCTCCCTGGCAACACCAGTGTCTCCTCTATGTATAACCAATAAACAAGTATGGAAAGAAAAACTCCAGTTTGAGCAAAAAAATTTTCAATTGTTGACTATCGGGAACACGGTTTAGATCTCTAAATTAACACTTTTGGGTCCTATTTAAAACAAGTAGTGGATACACTGTCCACAGAACACTGCAGTGTTTACCCCACAAACTTTATGGAGTGCGGGGCAGGGTATGGAGCAAGCATTGTCCTTTGGTGTGTTCTCTGCACAACTCCAAAAAGTAGTGCTATGATTGCAAATAGATCATAAATCCATATTGATGTTTTATAAAATAGGCCTCTGTCTTGTTTTCTACAGTTGGGAGGGCTATTAGTGTGCAGACTGGCTGATTTGTTGCACCAGACAAGGAGAAATGTTTTCTGTCTGTGCGCACCCTGATTGAAGATGATTGGAGGTCAGGGGGTGGGGTGTCTATGTCTGCCCCGCTACTGATTGTTATTAAAATGTTAGTAAACCAACACCCTGCATTTACTATATCTGGTCTCCCACAGTAAACAGAACATGGAAATGCAATTATTGTAGTAAATATAAACTGCTAAATACCTTTTCTTACAGCAGTATATAGCAGTCTTGTGACTTCTAACAGTGTCCAGCTGAGCACTGGTCAAAGCTCCTAAGAGGAGTTTTCATTTTGCCCTTACTGTCCTATGAGACTGCATAACCCATGACCCTCTGTATGGACAGTGCTGATTGGCCCTGTGCTGATCACATGCACCCTCCCAAAAAAAGAAGAAAAAAAAAACAAAACTCCTCACTAGCCATACACACTAAACATGTGCAGAGTGACTCCTAGAGCTCTGTACTATCAGGGGATGGATTGGGGACAGTAGAAGAAGTGGCGGATTAGAGAAGACAGGATCAAAACACAACGTGGAAGATTTACCGCTTAGATTTCACAGTGAGTATAACAAGCATGCTTTACTGCATATACAGACTGATTTTACTATTGTAGGTTTAGTATCACTTTAAATGTGGAGATCGAGGTGTAAGCTCCTTTCATATGTTGAACAATGTTGTCTCCAGAAAAGGAAGTAACGTGAAATCTACGGCGGGAAAAAAAAAAACCCCTACCATGAACCTGAGCCATAACTTGGCATATTAAAGTATTTACATACTCTTAAGAACTGAAAGTGCTTTCAAACAAGCCCACATTCTCCTCTGTAATCATTTTGTAGAAATTCATTTTCAAGATTTACAACAGAGACAATGAAATCTTATTTTTTTTTCTATTACTTTCTATTGCAAAAAAATCTTGGCAACCTGTTAGCCTTCCAC